TTTTTTGAGAGTGTCTCACTATGTAGTTGATATGTAGTTGAGACTGATCTGGAACTCACTGTGTAACCCAGGCTGGTCTCAAACTCACAGTGATCCTCCTGCCTCAGCCTCTCGAGTGCTGGGATAACAGGTGTGTGCCACCATGCCTGGCTGGTAGTCATTCTTAATGTGTTTTACATACATGTTTCTCATCGGATGTATGATTTGCAAATATTCTCTTGCATGTGCATATTAGTTGTCTTTGCCTTATGTTAGGACTGTTGTTTCCCCATTGCCTTTGGCCCCTCTTGCTGAAAATCAGTTAACTGTAAATGCTTGAGTTTATTCCTGAACTCATGGTTCTATTCATCTACCTGTCTCTCTATGCTTGTGCCACTACTCCTTTTAGGTTTTAGAGCCACTAAGTTTTCATAATTACTTAGGGAATGACAGACAACTTCTATTCTTAAAGCATTTTGATTTGGGATTCTTTTCCTTTTAAAAGCCATTATAATTTCCCTAACATATGTGAGAAGCTTTAAAGGTATATAATGTCTTCTTTCTTTTTTCCTTTTTTGCACTGAGGATCAAACTTGGGACCCTGTGCTTGTGAGACAGGCGGGGGCACCACTGAGCTAAATCCCTGGCTGTAATGTCTTCTATTTAAGGATTTGTAGGATACAAACTATGGACTCATTTCTTTGGCTCCATTAAAGTTTATTATATAAATAGGTACTTAGTAGCTAGTAAAAAGTATCATTTATTTGATAAAATATGACAACTTTGTGTACAGTTAGACAGTTCTCATATGTGCACCAGTTTGAGATGGTTTGCAGAAATCTCCAGAAAATTTCTTTCTTCTCTGTTGTTACAGTGTGGACTTCTAAAGACCACTTATGCTGTATGGTTTTTGTGTTGATTTAGTTGAAGATACCTCAGGAAATATTTTTCTAATTTCAGTAAGAAATATATCTTTGATTTTAAAAACTGAGAAAAATGTCTTTAAAAGATCACATCACATTAAGGATGGGGGACTATTGTGACATCATTACTTTCATTTGGAAAAGGTCAGTAAATTTTGACGAGCGATGCTGTTTTGTCACTGCCTTATGGAAGTTTATACCTTTGAAAAATGAGAAAGAAAACAAAGACCATATTGACCCAAAAGCAACTCTAATCATTTCAACTGTAATTTTAAACTGGCACCACCACACATGTACATAGACGGGTATGAGGAGCCCAACATTTAGCAAATG